ACCGAGAACCCCTCTTTAGTGAGTATTAAATTGGTTTTTTGGTGTCCGAAAGATTCCCTTTGAAGTAGACATTTGCTCCTATTTGTATTGGTTCTCTTTGTAAGTGGTTATGAGTGCTTCTTTTGCTGAATTAGAAGGCCTTATTAAAGGGCTGACCGAAGTTGTGAAGAGTCAAAAAGATCTTATTCAGACTCGAGCCGGTTCAGCTAATATTCGCTTGGTTGATACTTTGAAACTTCCCAAATATGATCCTGATAATAAGGATGTTAAAGGAGATTGGGAAAGTTTTGTTATTGAGTGGGAGAGGGTGATCCTTCTCACCGGCGATGTGGCTGATAAGACTAAAATGGAAATGTTCCGGCAAAGTATGGTAGGCTCAGCAAAATCAGTAGCTGATGTTTACGTGAAGTCTGTGAAGCCTACTTATGTTGGTTTGAAGAAGTTTTTGTATAAGGCCTATGGTCTGACTGACCAGCAACGTAAAGTTTTGGCTTTCAAGAAGTATCGATCGTTGAAGTTGAAGTCTCAAGCTACAGTGAGTGATGTGAAGATCTTCCTAGCTAACTGGGAGTTGTATGGTTCGGAGCTCGAGTCTCTCAAGATTTCGTTTGATGAGAGTCAGAAAATAATTGACTTTATGAATGCCCTTCCTGTTGATGTCCGGCGATTTATCAGTCTTCAGCCGAAGGAAGTGGAGCTTATGACATTGGAGGAAATTGGTATGTTGGTTAAACGGTTCTGTGAACAAACGTATGGTTCTGAAAATAAAGAACAATCTCAGACCGGTTTGGTTTCTACAGCTTCTCCTTCTGCAAATAGTAAGAAAGTGTGTCGCCACTATTTGAAGGGTTCCTGTAGATATGGGTCTAAGTGTAAATTTGTTCATGATGCTTCAGGCCGTTCTGTAACCACTGAAAGTAACTCCACTAGCTCGAATGCCCATTATGCTACTAAAGGTGGACGAACACCTATAAGATGTTATCGTTGCCAAAAGGTGGGTCATCTAAAACGAGATTGTCCTCTACAACGCCAAGATAAAACTACCGGTCAACAGGTGCCGGTTTTGCCAGTTGCAGTGGGTGATAGTGAATGTGTCGCTAAAGATGCATTGGTGAATGATCCTATAGAGGAAGGCAATAATTCCTCTGGTAAGCCGATTGAGTCCCATGATAGTGGTTCAGTTAGCTTTCCTACTATACCGGCACTTTTAAGTGGTGGGCACCTACCATGCTTTAGCCTCTCAGTTGGTGGTACTGAGATAAGGGTGTGCGTTGATACTGGAGCTTCTCGAAGCCTCATTACTGAGCGCACTCTCCAGAGGGTTGGAGCCTCTGGTGCTGTCAAGATTGAGACGGTGGAGAAGTTTGCTAAGCCTGAGGTATTCACAGGCCTTGGTAATTCGCCGTTTTATGCTACTAGATTGGTGCAATTCCCGGTGAGATTTAGCTGTATAAAAGGAGTGGTGTTTACTGAAGCTCCTTTAGCTAATCTCAGAGCTCGCTGTCTTAATACGACGTTACCAAATGATATTGATCTGCTTCTGGGAAATGATACTCTTAGTCGACTTGATGCTCTGATTGAGTATGGTACTGCAGGTCCGAAAGCCTTGCATATCCGTCATCCGATTTTACAAGGAGTTGTTCCTCTCCAATTGTTTGAGGATGATGGTAATCAGTCTGCTCTTGTCCGTTCGCCTCAAAGGTCAGAGGTGAGACTATTATGGAAGTCTGAAGCCAGGCCAACACTAAATCAGGCTCAGGCTGTATCTCGAGCACGTCGACTGGAATGCCATCTTCGAGAGCAGGGGCTATTGGAAGCCTATGATGAGAAGCTCGACCTCTATGAGAAGAAAGGGTATGTCCGGAAAGCCGAGCTTTCTGAACTGAAACATCTTATCCCTCATCAATGTGTCTTCAAGCCTGGTGCGACATCATCAAAAATTCGTCCTGTATGGGACGCTAAGGCCTCAGGGCTGAATCACTTCTTGTTGGCAGGTGATTGGCTACATTCTGATTTATTACATGTGTTGCTGCGCTGGAGAAGTAATAAATACTTCTTGTTTGGGGATTTATCTGAGGCGTTTTTACAAGTATGTATATCCCCTATTGATACTCCATATTTGGGGTATTATTGGCGAGGGTCCTATTATGTATTTCAGAGGTTACCTATGGGTCTACGGTGTAGCCCACATTTATTACAGTTATCACTAGCGGAAGCCACATCATCAAATAAAAATCTATTGAAGAATACTTGGATGGATGATGTGGGTTGTTTTGGTCGAACTTCCCAAGAGCGTGATGATAAGCTCTGTGAAGTACGGCGATATCTTCAAGATGTTTATCAAGAGTTCAACGAGTTGAAGTGGGTTACTAATGACACAATATCTGCAAAAGCTATATTGGGTGTTCTTTGGTCGGGTAGGGATACAGATTCGATATCGTCTACATATAAAGTATCCACTCTACCTAATGAGAAGCTTACTCGTCGGAAGCTAAATGGTATTGTGAATAGCCACTTTGATCCGCTAGGTTTAGATCTGCCTATTGCTATGGTAGGTCGATCTATATTGAAAAAAGCTTGTGATTATGGATGGGATGAAGCTCTGCCCAAGTCATATGGAGAGGCTCTTGGGAAATGGTATTCTCTATTGGATAAGAGATTACCGGTTAGTAGAGAGTTACTACAAGACCAAGTGATATATATCTTTGTTGACGCTTCAGAGGAGGCGTGTGCAGTGGCTTGTTATGTTGGTGATAACTTGGCATATGGACGTGGTCATTGTTTTACAAACAATGAAGCCAAGTGGACGGTGCCCCGGAAGGAGTTGCAGTCGTTCATGTTGGCTTTGGATGTACTATCCTTTTTCAAGACCGACTCCGATCAGCATATTTATGTTTGTAGTGATAGTGAGATCTGCCTCCATCGGCTAGTAAATGGTTTGCATGATAAGCTGCCTACAGCTGAGAGGAGGAGGGTGATTAAGCTGCGTGAAGTTCTACAACATCCTCGTATCACGCTTGCCCACGTGAGAACTAAGGATAATAATGCAGATTTGGCAACAAGGCCAAGTAAGGTTGATGGTGACCTTTTACGAAGATGGTACAAGTTCGACTCTATCCCTCGTCTGCGCGAATTTAAGTTTCGAGAAGTTATAGAGCGTGATGATGATACCTGCTTGATAGCTGCTGGTGAGGGAATAACCTCATCTGAAGAAGATTTTCGCCGAGAACAACACGAAGATCCGGTTTACGGAGATCTGTGTCGTTATTTGAGATCCAAGACTATGCCGGATGGACGTGATCAGTCTCGTGATGTGAAGAAGTGGAGAAGAATGGCGTCCTTATTTAAACTACAAGATGATCTTCTATATTATGTAGGACCATCAGGTGATGATCAGAATGACAATGTTCTGCGATTAGTGGTACCAGCTTCTCTTCAAAAACAAATACTCTATGCACATCACGGCTCAGCTCTAGCAGGACATCCTGGTAGGATAAGTGTATGTGCAAGTCTTCGGCAGAAGTATTTTTGGTTTGGTCTTACCAGCTCAGTAAAGAAGCATCTTCGATTATGTCTCCCTTGTCGCCGTAGGAAGAGTAGGCCGAAGAGGTATGGATATATGCATTTGAATGTTATCGCTGCAGCATGGAGCTTGGTATCAGTGGACTTGATTACCGATCTACCTATTAGTGATATATCACCCAATCGCCATGTGTTGGTAATTGAGGATAATTTCACTCATTATTTGATAACGGTACCAATTCCGACCAAGCAAAGTGTTGTAGTGGCCTCTCAATTATGGCAGAAGCTCTATTGTGTCCATGGATGTCCTCTCAGGGTGCATAGTGATAGAGGAGGAGAGTTTATAGGATCTGCTTTCCAGAATCTCTGTCGGTTATATAATGTGTCTACGAGTCTTAGTACGAGCAGGCGGCCGGAGGGGAACGGTCAAAATGAAAGGTCTCATCAAGTTTTACTAAATGAAGTGGCTATATGGTTGGAAGAAACTGGTGGGCAGTGGGAAGCACATCTTCCTGCAGCTACTTTTGCCCATAATATAAGAGCATTTCCGGGATTGAATCTTTCTCCTTATCAGCTCATTTATGGTCGAAAGCCGTTGCTTCCTTCAGAACCTGATTTCACTATGCCGTTATCATCTGATGTGTTGGATCTTACTGACGAAGAAGTATATGACTATTATCATAATTTTGTTGACCAACTACACCGAGGATTTACTTTAGTGAAGGATGCCACATTGGAGAATCGGCTCAGACAGAAGAAGTATTATGATAATCAGCGAGTGGATCCGCCGGAAGTTCAAGTTGGTAGTTGGCTTTTTGTTCGTAGCTATAATAATCCAAGATTGGGCTATAGATGGTCTCTTCCATTAAAGGTCTCTAAGTTGGTTGGTGATCATTCGGTTTATTTGGTTGACCCTAAAGATGATGCTAAGAGACCTATTGGCCCGTATAATTTGGACCATTGTTTACCTGCTGATGATTTCAAGTTAATTTATGAAACAGCATCTTCTCAATCTAACCAAGAGACTGGTCGCCTACAGGAGGGTGGTGAAGATGACGACAATAATGATGAGGTCTCTACGGCTGATGCTCCTGCCTCTGTTAGTGATGATCATTGTGGTGAAGATCATCACATAGACATTGAGCGTTATATTCATCAGCTTTTATTGAATCATAAGGGACCAATGAGTACTGATGTTGTACGTTCTTACCTTCTTCAGCGGTTTGGCCCAACTAGAGATATTTTCCGTAAAGTGGGTGGATTCCGTGCATTTGTAGAGCGATCTGCAAATATTGGTTTTGATTCTTATGGTTCTTTGCAAACGAAGACTCTTATGTTCCATATTCCGTTTGCGGGCGGGAAGATGTGACAGTCTGAGTTGTGCGTTGTTGATATCATTAGCGTTTTGTGTAATGTGTCTACTGCTAGGCTAAGACACTTTATTCCTTTAATTACTTATATGAAAATAAGGTTATCAACGTAACAATATTAGTTGCGTTAACTATCAACTGGGCAACCTGTTACACAGGATCTCTAAGCCTTCAAAGTCTCAAGTCGTCCACTACTAGGGGAAAAGATGCCAGAACACGCTTGGCCGACCGCCTAGCAGCCCAATGTCAAGCCATTCGAGATTGAAAGGCCGAGCGAGTCGGCGGGGAGGACTCTGAGCTACATGCACTCTTTGTCGAGGAGGAGGAGCTCGAGGACCACTTTGCCGACGCGTGTGCCAAGGTCACACTTGCTGAGCGACCATATGATGAGGCCTTCGTGAAAGCCCGTAGCCCTAATGGGACTGACTCATCATCGTCTGATCCGATTATCTATGGGTTGCCGAGTTTGATTGATATGAGATTTAGAGTCCTGTATGATGTAGCTTATCCTCCACGGCGACGACCTGTGCGCCGACGGTTCAAGGGTACAGTGCGTGATATGCGTGCCTCGGGTCGGGTTGACGTTGAATGGGATGATGAGCCCGGTGAGATCGAGATTCTTGATTTCTGGGCCTGTGAACATAGATAGGTGTTATGAGCTTTGCTCTTTTTCGCCGAGTATTATCGTTACAAGTTTATAACCTTCAAGTTTATAGTATGGTAGATTCCGGACAGCCTGCGTGACACTGGTATTGTCACGGGCTTGTGCGTGCGTACGGATGCTTCAGCTAGAACCGAACATGCGAGTTCGGTGCAATCTGTTCTTGCTAAGTGTCGAGAAGTCCGTAGCCATCTTGGCTCAAGCTCGAGTTGTGTTTCGATAACCCCCGTTAATCCTATCACCCTGAGCCGTCAGCTGACGCCAGCCCGACAGGCGAGGAAATACGTCCAACCCACAGCCGCCTAAACTGAGCAACTTGAATGCGATCATGGCTAAGATCTTTCTGCGTAAATTGGAGGATAAATTCCGGTTTCGGGATCACAGTGAGATGGCGCATATCATCTTCCATGAGGCGGGTCTTGGCATTCTCGATAATCAGGGGACCTTCAGAATGTGGTTGAAGTGTGCGAGAGGGTGGTGGACGTAAGTTACGTCCAGACTATGCATCGTTACGTCACGTGACGATGCATAGTCTGGATTCCAGACCAAGTATCGCAGGAGATGAGTGATATACTCAATCAGGCCTTTAACCGCATCCTGGCCCAGGATTCCTGGGAGAAGTTCCGAAAGGAGAGGCGCCTATATAGGAGGATTTCGTCAGGGTTCACAACACGGCTCCTGCCCCTAGGTTATCACCAGCGGTTAATTTATGTCAAATGATACGGTCGGTTTGTAAGTTTGCGGAGGCGACCTATCACCTGCAACCTAATTTAGGTTACCTAAAGCGTAGCTAGATCGGATTCGACAAGTGTTGGATGACGAGCCTGGTCAGACCAGGGATATCTACGCCGTAGATTCTACGGCGTGGACCTAGCATTACTGAGTGGGCATCTAATTTCCCGGAGGAATCGGTCGTGTGCTTCCGCGCTGATAAGGCGATCTCCCCAGAGTCGCTCCGCAAGGCCTTCAGTGATCTCGATGCTAAGGAAGTGCATGTTCATGTCCACAAACGTGGGCGCTGGTACGGGTTCGATACCTCTGACAACAAGGCCGAACCCTTGAAGCTGATCAACAACGGTATTCCCACCAGCTCCGAGGGGACGTCTCAGGGTCTGAAGATCCGATCATCCGTACTCGCGGTAGGCCAGTTATGGAGTCGGCAAACTGATCGAGGCTTCATCTCCGAGAGGTGGAGACGGGTTCTGAAATACTACCAACGCTCCCTGTGGAATTACTGAACCATGTGACTACGTCTATGAACCACTTGAATCTTCTTCCAGAGAAGTTCTTTGCATGGCGAATCACCATTGGTGATAAAACCCATCATACCGTCAATTCAGGTGCGAACCGTAATACTTGCCGCGATTCGGATACCAACCCTACTATCATTGACGGTTCGTCACTCTTTTGTGTATGTGAGTATTCAATATCGTCATCAGATTCCAAAAACAGTGTATACTCAGATAGACCTTTACTGGGCGGAGCTTTACTCCCGTATTCATGATGTTGTCCACTTTAGCTCAGCAGCACCAACGAGGATTGTAGAGTATGCACCGTATGTTTCATCGTATATGCAGGGTGTTCTCCTCAGAGACATTCATCGTTCCGACGATCATTGCTCTCCTTCGTATTTGCGGTCTCAATTGCTCACTGGGTATTGACGTACCTATGTGACTGTAGCAGGTAGACAGATTTGTAGAAAACAGTGCGTCTTATGTATTCGTTTCGACCGTAAGGCTAGATGGACATTACCGGTTAGGGACCGATATTCGATATTTGTACTCTCCTTACCACTCCTTCGTATCGGCCTCATGAGGCCATTGGAATCGATTATGCCACTATTGAGCGTGTTGAAGTAGTGAGCTTCTGTTGTGTGGCTACGCGTTATAGGACACTTATTTACACTCCCACGGAATCTACTACAGGTCTCATCATGGCATTCCAAGAGTTTGTTATGTTATGGGGGACCCCCCAGTTGGTCCTCAGTCATAGAGCATCTATTGAGAGCCAGAACCCAACGTCGACCAAAATATTAGAGAGACTTAACTTATAATCATCACTGGTAGGCAAATGACTACAGCTTAGCTCAGCGATGATACGCTGAGAATCAACCACAATGGGACAAATATCACGAAAGACAACAATTGACACAAGCCGAATCTCACAGACCTTCACAGCATCCTACTCCAAAAGTTCTCAATGGAATCAGTTCTTTAATGACCACAATATTCTCTCTTGGTTGAGCGCTGCCGTTGCTCCGTGGGCAAGGTCGTGTTATGAAAGGCTGCATGGCGTTGTGAGGACTTTTCTCAGACCGATGTTGTTGATACCTTATACCCGTCGTATGCTCCGGGAGTTCGACCCCCAGAGTATGCAGAATGTTCGTTCTTTACGTCCAATCCTGCTAGAGATGTCGTTGCTGCTCAACACCCGTCCTCTGACTATCAATTGTGAGGATGGGGTCATAACTCCTGACTCTCTGGTCCAGGGCCCCTGGACCAGGGGTACACTCGGTCTACGCCTACCTCTCCATTGCCATCTCCTATTGTTGAAGCAGACGAAGTTATTCCGGCCGCACCCGATTCTGTCGGCACAGCGGTTGTACCTATCAGTTCTTCTGCTGGCAGCAGGCTGCTGCAGTTCTCCCTTCTCGTGGACCAGATACTGCTCCTCATCGGGTTGCGGCTGTATGCAAGGTGTTCCTCGATTACCACATTCGGCGGCTGAAGGAGCGCAGTAGCTTTCAGTATCATTCTAACGGTCAGTGGAAGGTCTTCGAAGTTGGTACACCTGGGTTTGTTCAAGCCGCAGCGGCTTAGCCGCTAAATCTATCGTGCCGGACCGTATTCTGGAAGCCTACCCGGTGCGTGATGGGGATGTTCGTCGATATAAAGTAAGGTTTCTATAAAATAAGTGAGCATGAAATGGTGACCAGCCATGCAAGCATCGCTGCTGCTTCTCCTTAGGAGACCTTTGTTTCTGATGACGACTTGTGAGTCGTTATTGATGTCTTGTTCAACTCGTATTTTTTTATTTGCTATCTCATAGTCTGACTGATCAGGGAGGCCGCCTCCCGGAGGCGTATATATTGATGCTCGACCAGTCTGTGTGGCAGAAAGCGTCACCTGTCAGTACATTCCTCCTTGTGCTTGCCTACAAGAGTGTGAGCATAGAATACATTCCGTACTATTGATCATGAGCATTGAGCGTTACTGGCTCTCAACTCGAGGACTTGAGAGTCTCAAGTCCGTAGCCATCGTGGCTCAAGGTCTCAGTGTACGTTAGGGTCGCATCTTTCCAGCTAATTCCGGATCGCGTTGATGCAAGGGAAGGACAGGAGGCACTGGGCATCAACAACGCTTAAGAAAAACACCCAGTTTCCGAATAGTTGGGTGGTTGCCGAGCCTCGGCGGCCGAGGATTTCTGATTCCCCTTCCGGTACTGAGTCACTTTTCAGTCGTGTTAGTCGACCCTAGTCTTCTTCTCACCATGAATATAGCGGAGTCCATCTTTATTCTATTCGGCCCACTCCTACTGTACTTCCAACACGGTATGGGTATTGCATATTGTGGGGTAATGATTAGGGCTCAGGCCAGGAATATGCTTTAATCGACAGCTATCTTGGACCAGTTCACTTAAGCTTCTCTGCATTATATTTCAGTTTCTAACATCGGAGACACAGATTCTGTGTTGCGAGCGTCCCGGATTTTCTTCTGTTCGCGTTAGCGATAGGTAGTGCAGCGAACCCGAATGCAGCACTACTAGTGCTATGATACTCGCTCTCTGTAGTCACGGATGTAACACGGTTGTAGCCAAGAGCAGATTCCGTGTTCTTCTATATGACTTCACTGATGATTACCTCATTACCTCTCAGCGTCAATCCGAGGTCTCACAACCGTCGCCTCCTCCGAGGAGGTTCCGAGGAGGCTTCTCGGAACCGACTTGCGCATGGTTAAGCAAGACAACTCGGAATGACCTATTCTCACAGCCTGTGAACGAGGACGATCTTCCTAGTACTGCATTATGCATACAATACCCCATTATACCATATATCTATGGACCAACCCGTATCAATGAGGTTGTAGTGATAATTCACTGGTTAACCCGAAACCAATGAGCGTTCCCTCAATAGTTGAGGGAAACGCTCATTGGTTTCTATAATAGTTGAGGTTCAATTCTTCCTCGGAGTTCCCACACATGTCACCAACACACGTAGTCGATCATGTGCATATTTCCTCACACTGCATCCGTTCTCCAAAGTTTGCTTTCCTGGGGAACCTAGACACAGCA